TTTTTTGCTAGACCTTTGTCAGAACTATCGAGTACTGTTCAGCTACTGCATTGCGATTTGTGTTCAGAGCAAGATTACTGCTATGAAAATACTCGGAAAGATGGGATGCAGAAGTTAGAAGACCCAAGAGAGACTTACCTGAGACGCCATTTCTGAGGAGAGAAGAGGAGAGGAGTCGCAGAAGCTTGGACTGCGCAGATCTGTGATCGGGCGGAATTGAGGACAGTTTCCTTCCCAAAAGTGAAGGACAATTTTGTAATTGGGACGAAAGCAAGTAAATACTCGTCCGGTCCTAATTATAAGACCCAATTGACTTATTTGAGGAGATTAAGGAAGTAAGTTAAGTTGGTTATTTATAATAAATAAGTGTTGTCATTCCTAAAATATCCTTGCTAATTAAGTATATTGGCTAAAACTATCATTATTAGAAGGATTATCTTGGAAAAAAATGCATAAATATAAGAGAGAAAATGGATTGGGTCTTATAATTAGGATCAAATAAAAAGTCAAATTGGGTCTTATAATAAGGACCGGAGGAGTAAGATTTTAAAAAAAAAAAACGCAAAATCCCATGGCTTGTTGATGCGGGGAAAGGATTTATTCAGAAAGAAAAATATGAGCAAATCAAATTAGACATTTTCTAGAATCTCAAATGAACTGCATTATTTTTGGCCAATGAAGAAAGGAATTGCATTTTTTTTTGCCAACCAAATGACTTAGGCTATAAATAATATAGCTGAAGAATAATGTTGCCCAAGTATCATCTTAGAAAGGGATTTCATTTTCATTAAATTAAAAAGATATTGTAATTTATTAAATTTTAACAACAAACATTTTAAATTGATTAAATACATAGATTCTACACATATTCAAAATCATGAATTCCAACTAGGCATGGTGAAAAATTATATCAAACTTTAAATGGGACAATTTTTAAAATTATATCCAACTTAATAGCTTATAATAGCATTAATAATAATAACAATAATAATAATCATCTTTATTGTTAGGGCACTACCTCAAAAAGCTTCTTGGGTAGATCACGTGGTTATGGAAGAGTTCTTGTTCCATTTGGGCTCAATTGCATTAATTTCCTTTCGTAAAGCCTTTCTTTCCTACTTGACCTTTTCTTTCTTTTCTTTTCTTGGGCCTGATTCTTCTGCTTGACTAAAGTTTTGAAAACCACAACTGAGAGTTTTAGGACATAGTCATCCATGATATATTAATTTTACAATTCTATTATAAACTCAAACCTTTGAATTTAGGGGGATAAATCATTTTTTTTATCATTAACATATTATTTCACTAATAAAATATTTAAAAATATTTTTAAATATAAATATTCACTCATTCTAATTTTGTATAATAAACAACTTAAATATATACTTTTAAGTACGGAAATATAATATAACAAGGAATGATATTATATTTCTTTTGTGCAGATAATACTTTTAAAATTTTGAGCTATTTATCAATATTTTTTTAACTTCAAATCGTGTCTATATAACTATTTAAAGGGTCTTTGGCAAAAAAAATAAAAAAAATAAAAGTATCACAGTTTATTCACCGAAAGGGGGTGGGGGATTTAATCTGGTATTAATTAAAAATATTCTGCTAAATAGCAGAGTTCTTAGATGGATTATGGATTCAACAAACATTTACTTGCTCACATCATACTATAAATGATCAAATCAATGAACTAGATTGTATTAACATTAACATAGGCTTAGTATGAACATGACAATAATATAATATTTCATTATTCAAGGGCTGTAGAAGGAAGGACCACACTTGCATTTCCAGCTCTCAGGCTCATAGTTTGCATATTGAATAGCCAAATGGCTTCTTCTGCTAATGCTTGGCACTTGAATGGCTTCACATGGTGTGCATCCATAACATTTGTGTTCACATCTTGGTGGGCTTGACCCCACATTCCCAGCCCCTCTTCTTTCATACCCTTCTTCTTCTTCTTCTTCTTTTAGCATTGTCTCTGCCATACCCTTCTGCAAATAAACAATATTACAGATACAGTATTTGAATATTGTGTTAGTCTTTTAAACATTCAGGAAGAAGAGAAGAAGGACACTGAACACACATGCATATTATACCTTGTTTGTTGGTTCTGATGTTTTGTATGGCGATGACTGTGGAGCCTCTTGTGGGCCTGGCACAGATTGAATACAAGATGATATATGTTTGTGAAGGAATTTTTGTTGAGAATCTCAATGCAAGAAAATATACAAGGATTTCATTCTAATGTGGTAGGTAAGCTGTTTGAAGAAATGTAACAGCTTAATTTTTCCCTTCGAAAGAGTAATGTCTACATTCATGTAATATTCGTAAGAGTGAAACCAATATAATGAATGTACCTGGATAAGAAATAGCATCGGTTTGTGGGAATGATCTCGTTGCTTCAGAAACCCAAGCAAGAATTTGCAGAGTTAGCATGAGGAAACAGAGTTTGTCCTTCATGGTTTATCAGAAGCTCAAATGATGAAACTGGTGATGAAGATGGTGGAAATGTGTGCGAGAGAGGTAGGGTTTCTTTGCTTGGGCCACTTACAGATCACAAGGTAGAGTAATTGAGAAGCTACCAGTGAGCTAGCTAGCTTCCAAAATGTTCTTGGGTTTGAGATTATGCGTCACAAGCAAGTATGGTTCTGGTTTTGTCACCCCAGCCAGCTTCACCTTCATTTGAAATCTCACTGGACTTCTCAGAGGCCGAGAATGGACTGCTCTTCTCTCTCTTTCTGCCTCTATCTTCGATTGCTTAACTTTCAATACAAGCAAAGCAAATCTCTCTCTCTCTCTCTCTCTCTCTCTCTCTCTCTCTCTCTCACAAATCAATCTAAAAGAGGATCACTATATATGGTGGTCCAGAAGCTCAGAGTAACAGTACCCTTTTTTGGTCTGAAGCGCCTGCAACATCCAAATAAAATTATCTCATATTTTTCATCATAAAAGTGAACAGATGATATGACCAGGAATAAGAAAAACAAAAATAAAAACTACATGTGATCTTTAAATTTGGGTCGTTTTCTCATTAAATTGGGTAACAAAATAGTTAACAAAAGTAGATGATTTACTGGCCAGAGACTCGAGATGAAGCAGGTGTCAAATTTTGTATGTCTGATAGTCACTGTTATGATAGAAGACTAAATTCAAATCAACATAGGACCATAACTATGTCTGAGATGAGTGATGCAATGTTTGATCCTGACATGTTTTAGTAATAAAATATTCTATGATCATACTAATCTAACATTATTAAGTGTTAATAACCATAGCTAGAGGATCAAATTAAGAAAATGGAGGATCAAATTGTTGTGCGTGTCTGACAGAAATTGAAGGGATGAGCAGAAGAAATAAATGAAGGTAGTTGATGGGATTAAATGTGGAGGGGTCAACTTTTTTGGGGTTGGTTGGTGGGAAACAGAACAAACCAATCCAATCCTCCAAAGCCACCAATGTATCCAATCTGGGACCTTCATTCACTGTGAGCTATTCAATGATTCAGCAGATCCCATAATCAAGGATCTGTTAGTTCTCATTCATGATTCTTTGCATCTAACATGGCTTGCGCTTTGGAGTATGTCACTCTAATGCAGTACCGGGATGCTGAATCTCGTTTGCTCCAAACTCCTCATTTACTCATACCTTCTCTCTCTGTAATAAAGATAGGCTTGGCTATCACTGAGGATGGCTTATATTAGTATATACTCTGATTTGGTTATATACTTAATCATGCAACTTTTTCTTCACAGGCCATAAATTGATTATATGTTAAGAAAGTCATAAGGTTCGAGTGGTTCATAATACAATACTTAGGATATACTCCTCTGGTCCTATTTATAAGGCAGAAAGAGAAGATTTTTTTTTATTCTATTTATAAGTCATTTCATTAAATTTTTACTATGAATGTACTATATTGTCTTCATTTATTATAGTGCAGATAGTTATTTTTTTTGAAATGTGTATATATTAAATAGGGGTAAAGTTAGAAAATTACTATATTTTAATGAAGAGTTAATGCAATTTAAGGTTTTCCTTGGTCTGTGTAAACAGATTGGAAGTGCTTTATAAATAGAACCAGAGGAGTACTACAGTTGAGTAAAATTTTCTAGGCCAACATGCACGCGCACACATATATATAGCATGATGGAAAATTATGTTTGCTATCCAAAAATAAATTGAAAGAAAATTGCAAGGTTAGGAGGAACAGTTAGGGAGTAGGGGGCATTTGCAGCTATAGATATAGCATTGTCTGAAAATTTCATATAGCCTTCTGTGGGTTGACCGAGCATTTAATAAAAGATTTACTTGTTATTGTTAGGTGTAAGTATTCTAGATTTATAGGGGCAGCATATGGAGTAGAATCATAGGATATTATTTTCCCCCTAATTTTCTCTCTAATTGCCTATATATAATATCTCATCTCTTCTTTCTGCAAATAGTTCGAACAGTCCAGTGAGAATACGATGGACTCCGGCCTGCACAAGGACAAAGGTCAACATGTTCTCAATTCCATGCATCAGGATTAGGATAATCTTGATGCACTCTGTTGATTTCAGGGGTTTAATTGGCACAGTAAAGTAATACTATCATCGGTCCTAATTATAAGAGACAGTTGACTAATTTAAGGAGAGATTAAAAAAGTAAGTTGAGTTAGTTATTTGTCCTAAATAGATGTTATCTTTCCTAAAATATCCTTGCTAATCAAGTGTATTAACTAGAAATATCATTGTTAGAAGGGTTACTTTGAGGGAAAAAAAGTATAAATATAAGAGACAAAGTGGATTAGGATATTATATTAAGACTAAAATAAAAGTCAAACAGAGTGTTATATTAAGGACTGGAGGTAGTACACTGTAATCTTAATTACAATGAATTACAACAAGTCAATTAATCTCATTACATAACTTTGATTATGTAATCTGGATTTCAGCTTATATAAATCAACGTATGAACATTTATATCCCCCACCAATAATATTTATACATTTATACTTCCATTTTTAGCCTTGATTGAGTAAAACATCATTCAAATTTTATTTTTATTCTCTACACAAAACATAAATTTCTTTCATTGATTTTACGATGGCATACCAAACAGATGCTTTTTTTTTTTTGGTGAGATACCAAACAGATACTTTGTAATCATTATTCCTTTACGTTTTGTATGATTCTTTAAACCAAATGGACGCTGAATTACCTGGGCTACCTTCTAGTTTTGTACGGTATGGGCCAGTAGACTTAGCTCCGAATAAGGGCCCCAAATTTCTTGGGCTCTTCACAGACCAATAATTCCGACCAGCCGCAGGCAAAAAAAAAAAAAAACAAGCAGCAAATATACAACAAAAGTAAAAACGGAAAAATAATTGGGTAAAAATATTACTAGTACATAGTTTGACCGTCAAAGAATAGTTTCTACTCATGAAAAACATCCTATAGTGTTATATTTGTATTGAAAAACTAAAAATACTTAAAACAAAAGTATATTATCCTAATTTTTCATGCTTGCAAGATCTCGTGAGTTTGGATTTAGTTTGAGTGCTCATTGCTCATGTGAGAAATGAACACCCAAAGCTCATCTCCTTTGGATGATCTATATCTAATCTAAACAATCTTAATATTTTTAATAAATTATTTTAAGATATTAAATGCTATTGGAAAAAATATTTTAGCTGCTAGATGCACTTTAACTCTTATAAATATTAATTAGGTTTTTTTTTTTTCAATATCACCCATATTTGAAGTGATTAACTATGGGGAGAATGTTATACAAATATAAAAATTCTCTATTTGAATGTAAGTAAAATCAAGAATATATTTCATTTTCAAACAAAATTAATGATTTAATCATTGTCCTTAATTCGTCCAATTGAAGATGAAGTAGTCCAAAATACCTTATAATAAAGACCGGAGGAAGTGCGCATGCATGCTTGTATATATGTCGTGGCTTACTATGGGTAATTTAGGTAACTCAAGCCAGGTCCTAATCCTAACAATGCTAATTTTTTGGAGAAATGAAAAACTACATTTTGATGTAATCATTAGTCTTTAATTGAACCAGAGAGACAAATTAATTGAAACTTATCTAGGCCATGTCCTAATCAGATCATAATTATATACCAAATTGTTGGAGGTCATAATTAAGCAATTTAGTTTCAATTATTAATCCCTCTTATTTTGACGTGGATAATCAACCTTTCATCAAAATTACTGTGCTATTTTGTTGGAGAAACTGAACAATATTCTTTTCTTCATTTTCCTTTGGAATGTCCCTCTGAGCTAACAGGAAGACAGATAGAATAATTAAATAAGGCATATTATATAATACATTATTTCTAATTGAATACAAATGGGGTAGCGTAAATTGTTATATGATTGATCGAGACTAATTTTTGAATACCTGATTGAGATTAATTATTTGGCGGGTGGGTGAATAATATCACTTATTTGAATGCAAGAGTCGTGCAAATATTTGTTCAATTAATATATTATATTATTTACATGGATGAAGATTCAAAGGTTTTTGTCAATCCCTTGCACCATGAATCAGATGTGTGTTATTGTGCTGCTTCAAGCAACATATAAATACAAATAAGTGTGTCTGTGTGCGTGTATGTATTAGGATTCACCATCAAAACAATATTGGCCCATCCGAAATTGGAACATAACAATATAATATTACTTAATTATAATATTCCTCCTTCTCCAAGAAACCTTGATTTTATTTATGAAAGAGCATATTATTGTTAAAATATAAGATTTTAAGTTCAAGTTCACATGAAGTTGGAAAACTACTTTGAGAAAACTACCCTCAATTGGAGACGAACTCTGTTTTAATATGGATTGTTAGTTAAGTGACTATTAGATATAGAATGGTTTTGTCATCTTAGTTGTTTATAATATCATTACAATATTTTCTAGGGAAAATGATGCAAAAGAATCACCTGATCAGGAAAAAAATGACATTGAAAGATCGTAAATTTATGGAACAAGGAAGAAGGACTAAGGTTAAAAATAAAAATGGAAATGGATAAAAATGTCTTATAAAGAGGGGAAATATATTCATTTCAAAATATGTAAGTTGTAAAAATTGGTAGATCAGTTTTGAATATGTTGTAAGGTTTCCGAAAACTCAATTGTAAAAGATAAAAATAATATGCAGTCGCGAATGTATTATAAATTGTAAAAGCTTTGTAAATATCGTAAGTTTAGTTGTAAACACTGAAGCTTCAGTTGTCAAAATTGGAAAATCAATTGATTAATTCCTAAATGCTTGAAGCTTTTCACGTACGTCACGTTGACCCTCCTCCGTTTGGCTTTGCATCACGAAATTGCATTTTAGTTTATGAATTAGCAAACACTACTATCTCTTAATATAAAAACTAAACAACTAACTTCTGAATAATAATAAAAATATTTAAGTTAATTATTTATAATAAATGAGTATTATTTTTTTTCCAAAATACTTTTTTTAATTATATGCATTGAAACTATTTTTAATAGAAACCCTTAACATGATTAATAACCACAAGAGTTAGGCAAAATGAATAAATACATGTGATAAAGTAAATTAAAATTTTATATTAAGGATCAGCTTGAATTTATCAATTAAACT